AATGTCAGTGCTATAGAGTCACCTTTCTTGGCAACAGCTCTTCAGGAGGCAATGGCTGAGAGTAGTAGCATGCCACTGCCACTTAATAATGGAGGGTGTGTTATGTTTTGTACGCCTTGGACAGTGTTTTGTTTTTTCTCATCTACATTTAGTTCAGAAGTTATTATCTTGGGTCATGCCTCTGTAACAAGCAGAGCAGTGCAATAGGTGTGGATCCTAGGGAAGCTGGAGGACCCCACTGGAGGTACCTTGAAGAGTTTATTTCAGACTAGGTCTACTCTGGTCCTGGGCACTGAACACCCATTAGTGATGGAAGTACATCAGGTGCATCTCTGAAGTACATCAGGCACCTGTCTGAAGTGCATCCTGCCGTTTAATTTCACCCTAAAGGAGTCCAGTTCACCTACTCTGAGATCACCTTGCAAACCAAAAAGCAGCAAGCAGAGGCAGGGGATTTGCTTCAAAGGTACACTCCTGATCCAAACCTAAATGCCAATGCAGATATACCCCATGTGAACCAGGAGTAGAGCGGGGTGGGGAACAGACTCTCTGTGGTGCAAAATTCTTTGAGGCTGCACAAACAGCTGATGCTGCGAAATTTTGATGTTTCCAAGAAAGAAAAGAGGAGAGAGAAAGACCCACAGCAGCCAGCATCTTGGCACGCCAGTATGGAGCCTGCATCTGAGCCTCCCCTATCCTGTTTGAACATTTGAACAGAAGGTTAGAAATTCAGTTGTTCTTTCTACCGAATGTATTTATTAATATGAAATGGAACATCTCCAGCAGGCAAGACTGAGAAAACCTGATGACTTAGTGCCCAGGTCTCCCATCTAAAACATGAGAGGCAAACTTTTAAGTCTACAGTATGAACCAAGCAGATCCACAGAACTTCCCTATATTAAATAAACAGATTGATTAGTGGACTATGTGCTATTCTTGCTGTATTGGTGCTTCTGTTGTTCCTGGTCTCTCATTTTGCTAGAAATTGCACTTGGGACTAAAAAAAAAATTTCCTAATGAATGTTTTGCTTAAACTTATATGTTTGTGTTAAATTCTCTGATTTTAGAGTTATTTTATCAATTTTAAATAAATTTGTTGTAAAATTCCTAACCAACTCTAAGCTGGATTCTCTTTGGGATGAGTATCCTTTTCTAACTGAGAGCTCTGGCTGGTGCAGTTCCCAAAGTGAGGATGGTCTCACTGCATGGGGAAAGCAGGGAGACAGAGTGCTAAAGAAAGGGGAAGAATAATGTTTCCTCTACACATCATACAAGAAAGTTGATAAAAACTGGGGATGGGAGCTTCTCATTTTTGACTACTATAAAAGAAACAGAATGTAAAAGAACAAAGATGACTTTTGTGATGAAAGAGAAGGAGTTAGCAGTACAAAAGAGAAGTTTTTAAAGATTTTTAAAAATATGGACAAAAAGAAACCGGATGGCCCTCAGCGAGGAAATGATTCTAATTTATGAATAAGTATGATCTGCCTCACACTGGTTTGGAAGGGAATACTTTTGAATTACACTGAGGCGAAGCAGACAAAGTACTTCTGATGCCTATAGCTTCTCTTTTAGTCAGGAGGAAAGAACTTTAGAATGGGGCCATCCAGGAGTGGGGCAGCAGACACAGAAATCACCGACTTGGTTAAATTACAGCAGGGGAACAGAGAAGAACATGGAAATTCCATGTGGACTATCCCTGGTTACACCTTGCCCTGTGGGAAATCAAACGACACGGTAGGAGTTGGAAGAGAAGAATTTGGATTACGTGGATTGTACAACTGTAAGTGGGAGCTGAATTTGATTCCATCTGCAAGAATCAGCCCAAACCTTTACACCGTCCTGCTCAGAGGAGGAAAAGACCAGGAGAGAAAGAGAAGGTTCAGCCCTCTGCGACTCCACCTGTACCACAAATGAAGGGTAAACAAACCTCATTTTAAAAATGTCACTGCGTTGCCTTTAAACTGACACCCACGAGGAATTACTAATGAGATTAGCTTTTGGGTTTTTGTTTTAGGTAATTACTTTTGCATCTGCACACAACAGTTACATAGAAGCAAACAGCATGTCAGAAGGAAAAGAATCACACTGCAGCATAATGAGAAATATCACAATGAAGGCTCACTGGATTTCACAAAATTGTTTCAGAAGTGGCTGTGAGAATAAATACAATCCTTTCAACAGAAATACTTCTCACCTACACAAGTATGTTTTTGTAAACTTAAAAAATAAACAATTTCTCTCCAATTGTAATAGTAAAAGTAGAACGAAGTAGTCTCTGTGTTTTGTTTTTTGATCTGGAGTGGACATCAGGAGTCAGCAAGTGTACTAAACCCCAGGTTAGCTTCAGTGCCATCACTGCTTAGGTGTTATTCTGAAGCTTTGTTCAGACAGAAAATATTTCTGATGTCACAAAAGGACATGCTTCACTTCCCAGGGCAGTCACCTAGCGTTTTTCCACACGCTGGGGGCGGGGGGGTGCGGGGAGGCACTAAACTGAAGATCTTAAATACATGTAGGCAATATTTAGTTTACTTTAGAAGATAGACGCTAAGCAAAAGAATCCTTCTGAACTAGAAAGTTTGAAAAACAGGGGTTAGAAATTTGTCCTGGATATGCCACAGAAACATGATGGTGCAGTGGGGCTGGAAGAACGACAGAAGTCGTGACAAACACAAATACAAGCTGTTTATAAGAGCCTGTCTAACAATATTTATGAGGAATATTTTATATGTTTCCAGCATTTTTACTGTGGCACATGCATAACTGGGGGCTTTGAAAAAGGAAATCAGGCTCCATATGAGAGGAAGGCTGGGTAGCAGCTGTCTGCCAGGATGAGCATTGGTGGGGAGGAAAATGCAGGCACTGTTGAAGCTCCAAATTAAACATCAGTTACGGTATAGTTCCTGGTTTATACGTGGTTTTGTTGAAATTAGCAGGGAATTTCAAAATGAAACATTTTTCCCTCCCTAGTTCTGAGTGTGGATATTGAGTTTAGTGTTTATATTACTGACAGTGTTCCATCACAAAAAAATCTGGGCTTTAGTGATGTGTCTAATGAAACCAGTTAAAGTTTTGTGTTAAATTAACACGTAATAGATTTAGCAAGTACCCAAAATTAAGCTAAAGGAAAAATTCTGTTGTCTTGTGAATAAAAATGAGTGAAAATGTGTTTGACCTAATTTAAATCCAAGAATATTTTGAAGGTCTGCTGGTGGCTCAGGTAGACTCCCTATTATACCAGATGAGTTTTTCAAATTCTCAGTAGATGAGAGTATTACCTCTTATTGCAGAGTATACTGAACCAGATCCTCAGACGATCAAAACAATTTCCTTTAAATCTAACCTTGCTTCAATCAAACTTGTAGAAATTCAGTATCTTTCACAATCAGGCATAGTTAGCTACGTTGTTTCAGGGTATTTGTAAGAGACCCTCTTGATTTGAAAATCTGGGCCCTAAATGCCTTTGTTTGGCACTGAAATTCTGCCAAATTCCACATAACTAATTTGAATAAAAATTCAACATGGTAGTTTTACAGCTAGATAAATATTTGTGAAGGGGGTAGGGGAAAGAAGGGAAAAGGAATAGTTGTCCACCTGCATAACTTGTAATCGTTTTTTGAAACATGCATTGTAAATGTGGAAACATCCACATGTTGGCTAAGAAAAAAAAATCAGAAAGAAATGGAAAAACAGTTTAAAAAATCAGATATCAAAATACTACGAAATGTTATTTTAAATATCATCTGTTAAGGAAGACTACTCACGTTTAAAATATTTTGAGCATTCTAAGCTGTTTTGCAAAATTAATGCATAAATGAATTAGAAAAACTTCAAAGTGGATTCCATTAAATTAAAAACTGGGGGAAAAGAAAACCCAGACTAGGGTTATGATGACATTCTTGGAAGGACCAATGTCTAGAAAAACATTTTACGGCAGTGTTGGTCTCATTAGGAGGTGCACTGAGAACTCTTGAATGATTAAAAATGTTTATTACTTTTCTCAGTAACATGGTTAACCTTCTGATACCAACACCACTTAAACAAAATTGTCACCACCTCCGTATTCTACTTGTAACACATCTACGACAGTCCCCATCAGTATGCTGTGCTTATGAATCCTCACTAAGCAATGCTGTTCTAGCTCCTACATCTATTTGTACCTGCTTAGCATGAGGTATTGCAGTCATGTACCCGTCCTAGCAGACTCATAGTCCTAGCTTTCTTCTGGAGTCAACTGAGAAAAACACCTCCAATGAAATAGTTTTCAATTTGCAGTTCATGTATTTCTGTAAAAGGAAAATTGGCATATCATCTGGCTTAAAATTAGCATCTAAATCTACTGGATATTTTTGAGGAGTTTAACAAATTTGGCAAAGACTGAAAACTACTGTTTATACAGGAACCCTCAGGCAGCTATCTCTTACCTAGTATTTTTCAGTTCAGTACCTCATCGTGGCCCATTTCAGCCTCCTGGTGCAAAAAGAGAATCGCTCTTTCCTTTCAAAATAAGGGATTAATTTGCTTTCACTTATTTTCTCAGCTCCGTCTGTATACAAGAGGGAGCTAGACTCATCCCTTCCCTGAAACAAAAGCTGACCCTCGTCTTGTTTGAGGTGGGAGGGACAGTCATGAGCGCTAGGTCCAACTGTAGATGACAGGTGGGCTCCCAGGGCCCACTCAGCTACTCAAGCTATCTATTACCCTGAACATTTTTGCCACGACTAGGAGGGCTGAACGGTGCCTTGATGCAGGGCATGTGTGAGGGTGCAAGAGTGAAAGGAGCATAGGTGGCCACGGGCACAGCCTTGACACCATCAGTTCCCTCCCCCTTGGTACATCTGCCTCTGGACATCATGATGGCATCTGAGTTTAGGACAGGACCTAGGAGTTGTGTTAGTCAATTCTCAGACATATATGTTTTACCTGGTATAAAAGATCAATTGTGTAACTTACAAGCTCTTTGCCTTCAAAAGAAATCTCACATCTCAGAAGCAACTACTACCTGATGTTAATACAAACAGGCACTCGTACGTAATTTAGTTCAGCACAATTAACAAAGGATATTGCTATTAACATGGTGCAGGAAGAAAAAATACTTCCCAACAACCTAACAACAACATGTTGCGATCCATGGATATAAACGACCAAATAAAATGAAAGGATGTAAAAATGTCACGGAAACACCAGCCGTAATCTAATGTTGTCAGTGCACTCCACACACACCTTGTAATTACTAACACATTTGGCCTACTAATACATTTTAGACAGAGGAACCCACCACTTCTGTACCTTCTCACATAAGCTGCTTTTGATCCTTCACAATTGATTTAAACTCTTCCATCGCTTCCTTTGCCTAGTGAAATAATTATGAGATGATATTGCAGAGCGAGGGGGAAGGGAGATGAGGGTATTCACACACATGCCAAGCAGATCTATTTGCACACTTTGGGTAAATTAAATAATGCAATAAAAGTCCTAACCTGCTAGAAGCATTTTAAGCTCTTCTCTTTTTCTCCCAGCTTCTTCTGACACGCACACTTCTCCTCTTTTTGCAGCATTAAACTGCTTTTCCACTTCCTCTACAACAGTGGGAATACTTCCCTTATGAGTGTCAGGATCTCTCAGGCAGGTCAAAGGTTGCCCTGCAGAGGAAATGACAAGCTGTGAAATGTAAAAGAACAATTCCTTCCACATGTTTCTTTGCTCCAGGAGCAGTAAGGGGTTGTCGGCTAACATTGCGATGGGATGGGCCAGGTTTCTGCCTAGCAGTCCTGTCAAAACTAATTTACAATTAAAGATCTGCACAACTGTTTAAAGCTTTACAACTCCAGCAAGTTTCAAGAACTGTCGAAGCCAAGTGCTGCAAACCAGCACTATTTTTAACAGCCAGGCAGGGAGATACTCTGAAGAAGAACAGAAAAATGCTCTAACTTGTAGAGTAACCAGATAAATTTTATACAAGAAAATGGTCCTTCTGTACAGTACTTATTTACATGACAAGCTCATTGTCTGGGAACTCAAAAAAATTTCACCTGCTTTAACTTTTTTCTGGTTGATGGATGTGGCACACAAGCAATCCATTAGACAGTTCATTGTATGCTAGTGAAAATAGGTGTCCTTCAGCCATTCTGAAAGAGCTGTTGCTTTTTTCTTTACACTCCCAAAGTGAACCAGGAGGAAGGACAAGCAGACTTTTGGGAATGAAAACATCACACATGCCTAGAAAATCTGCCTGTTGCCTTCATCAGGCAATGGTCCAAAAAATGGTCCAAAGACTACTGAGGCAGTGGGAGTCTTTCTATGCAATACACCTATCCACCAAAGCAGTAGGAAAAAAACATCTCTGCTACTGGAAGCAGCATAGTAGCGCTAATAAAACACTCAGCCCAGGTTAATTCATCCAGTATCGCAGCTCTGCTATAGTGAGACCATCCTGCTGCTGGGACCAAGGTAGCTTAGCTGTTGTCATAAACTTTCCTTAGAAACCTAGACTGATAACACCTCTCCTCTGACACAGGCAGGTTAAGCAATCAATGTCATGGTATGGATTTCTCTGAGCCCTCAGCGAAGGCAGCTTCACAGTCTGCAGTGTTACCAGACGTCAGGAGCAATGACATGCACAATGGCAGCAGTGGCTCACGAAGGTGGTGAGCAAAACTTCCCTTCTGGTTTCACACTCTTGCATTCTCCGCTAAAAAAGATGCACAATTGGTCATGGCTGTTTAGGCACAGGCAGTGATTTTCACTGTAACTTGGCCAAAACCTGCACATAACTTTGCACTAAAAAACCTCTTGTTTCAGTATCTTAATCCTCCTCAGCCAGTCTTCCACCTTCTCTCTTGCAAGCACCCTTTTCAGGTCTTGACTCTGCATCATTATATGCTAGGACAGTACTGAACATAACAGGACTTCAAAATGACCCATATTAAAGAGGTGTGAGTAAGTCACTCTAGAACAAAAAGGGTTCTCCTATAGTTCTTCCAACTACAGAGGATAAAATTATCCATGGGCTTTTCTGCCTATTTTATTTGATCACCATGTCTGACGGACACAAACAAGCTTTTGTACGCCAAGTCAGAGGAACAGCTCAGAGACAGATAAGCAAGCGTTTGGAAGAACGTTTCCTGTGGAATAAGTGCAGAGAAAAACTTCCTAAATGAGTCTACGTCTGATCTAAAGCTGTTTGAATAAGAGAACAAGAGTGCTGTCCAGCTGCTTTGGAGAGGAAGAAAGAGCACTATTTCAAGCACATCTGTATTACTGTTATGGCCTTTTGCACATGTGAATCCTGTCTACTGTGGAAGCTCAAGTTAATGGAGATTGTGCCATGGATTTCACAGTGAGGGAGAGTGGCCTTTCGAAGAGTTTATGTTTAGCATTTTTATATGGAGATTCACATTTCTGAAGAAGTTTTCATCTGTTTAGAAGACTGGGTTACGTAGATCCAAGTCTATCAAGGCAATGCTTCTGACAGCTACATCTAATTTTTCTACTTATGCTTCTTCTCAAAGATTTGTTGCCACCTTCCAGCACACAACAATGGCTAATGAACGTTGGGGAGAAACTGCCATTTATTTATGCCAGATATTGTTGATCCTTCCCTTTAGCAGGGCAACAGACCAACCACAATGCAGCTTTTTTCTTAAAAAAGAAGAGCAAGGTGGTCATGGAAGCAGAAGCTTCCATGGACCTGGTCTTCTTCCACGGACCTGGCATGGAATAAAACTTCAGAAGAATGGAGAGAATATATGGTTTGGATGGAGAAACACACCAGACAGGAGTTTCAGTCAGAGGACACTAGGGTGCATTCCCTTGCATTGTACTCTGGAGGTGAGAGTGATCCTATACAGGAGTGATCCTATACATAGCCCAACAGAGTTTTGCTTTAAAAGAATAATGTAGCCTGGAGTTAATGGAAATAATATCAAGATTCCTACTTAACCTTCAAAAACCAAGACAAATTCAGAGTGAAGGTTAAAACACCATCTTCTAACCTGCTCTGTTTTGCTTATATGTTGCAGCACCACATATGGTATCGATATGTAAGATCACTCACTATTTAGACTACTGCAGTGGAGTAAGTTACAGAACACCAGTCTTCATTTAGACTGTTCTTGCTTTCTCTGGTTTGTGTCTCAACCTTAATGTCACTTTAGCAGAGCTTTTTTTTCCCCCTGCTTTTGGTCGTTTAACAGATATAATACAGTATTTATAGAGCATATCAATGTGCGACAGCTTGCCACAGATCATAAACACATTTTTCTGTTGGAAATGTTGAAGTCGTGATTTTCACCACGTGATCTCCAGTTCCCTAAGGTTCACTCCTTTAATTGTAAATAGCCAGAAAGTCATCAAGCTAGCGTTTAATAAACTTTTAATTTGAAATGGATTACCACATGTTGTGTTTGTTTACCCATTATTAAATCTCTTAGCAACATATCACCAGCAGAAATAGCATACTGTAGCACTGCATAGATACATTAAAAAACAAACCCATGGGGGATATTAGCAGCTAATAATATCTTTAAAGAAGGCTCTAAGAAAAATAAAAATAAACAATTTCAAAAATTACTTCTAGAAATTTTGCTAGTGTAAATACGTGAGATATGGATATTACAGACCTTCCATGATCAGCTTATCAGCTTGCTTCAGAGGTCTGCACACCAAATAGGACATGCAGTAATGCTCTTCCTCAGTTCTTAGAAATACATCTTTCTGGACTCCTCAGTCGTATGACAGGTCTTTCTGTGTGTTTCCAGAAGTGCGACCTATTTAATTACAGCCTCCATGTGCATATGTGCATGTGTGCGTGTGTGTGTGTGTATGTAAAGATTAATGGTAAATCAAAATAGTGGTAGGGAAGAGTCTGATTTATTAAGAACTTGTCCATAAACCACTGAGAAAAATCAGGTGCATCTCCACCTTTTGGATCTGCTATGCATGGCTTTGTGCTGCATCTACAGGAAGAAGGTCCTTAGTAGATAAGTAGCAGGTATATGGCCACAAAAAGAGTCTTATTCCTCAATACAACATCTGTTCATACCTCCTGACATCAGGCATCAGGGTGGCTACATAAAACCCTTTTGCTAACAGTGCAGTTGCTGCCTAGTCTAAAAGTGACACAAGGCAAACCTTAAATCTCCTAAACCATCATTCACTCTCTCAGAAATACTTCTACTGGCCTCTTCTCCTACTGTACTTCCAACCTGTGCTGCCCTTTCACCATGCTAAATGACTACTGTTTGCCTGCTTTCCTTCTTTCCTTCCGATATTGTCCTCCTCCTCCACTCATGTCTTCCACTATGCATCACTGCTGCTGCTCTCAAACATCTGAGGAACCTCCGCACCATAGAACTAAATCTCTGTTTCAGATCTGCACGTAATATTTACACAGACACTACAACCTGTGGGTTGACTTCCTCCTTCAGTTCATTAACAAAGAGGGAATATCGGAATGTTTGTATGCCAGAAAAGACTCTCATCCTGCACTGAGACTGCAAACTCCCTTGCAGTCATATCCCACATGCTGAAATAGAAAAAACAGTTCAGCCCAGTGTTCTGGCATGCTTCTCATTCTTGTATTTATAAAGTAAGAGGAGGGCTAATCTGTGAGGGGCTATCACAATATAGTCAACTATGTCTACAGCACAGCTACCTCAGGAGACCCAGAGAGGCCAGGGAGGAGGCTCAGTCTAGAAGGAGCATTCAGAGATTTCACAAAAAAGCTTCTGGGAAGGTCTGCTGCACATAAGCAAATGATAATTTGTCTTTCCTATGAGTTACCACCTGGTTGAATCTTAACGGAATTTCATAGGAGTAGCATACGGCTTGCCTCTGATGCCAGAACCATCTCCCTGCCAAATCTGAAGTCCCTGTTCTAGCCCAGGGAGGTGCTAGAGTTCTTCCAAAAATAATTAGACAAAAAAAACCTTTTTTTTTTTCTGTAAGCTTGATGTCAAAAGTGGCTGAACTATTATTGCTGTGACTTTCCAAGCATCATTCAGCCTTAAGCAGAGGACAGCACCGAAAGCTGCATCCTCAACAATGATTTAAATTGTTCACAATTGAAAAGAGAGCTAGGCAATCTTAAGGAAAAGAATCAGAGAACTCCTGCTATAGCACATACTGGTCTAATGTTTAAACGAGATAAATCTCACTTAACAGGAACAATAATGACTAGATAACCTTGAAATGAAACTATGGGCTGCCCAATAGGAGCCTGAATATAAACACGGAAGTTTGAACCCATCACCTCGTGGTCCAGACAGTTTAACCTTCTTCTCCGAAACACCATTCTTTTCTATAATGCTTGCAGATGCAAGAAATTCAGGTGGGAGATGAAGATGCATATCACGCTCATTTTGCTTGTCTGAATCCTGTGGTAGTTTAATTATCTAGTAAGAGAAAAATATGTGAGCATAAGCAGTTCAGTATTCCACAAATCCAGAACGTACTTGTTTGTACATTATTTGTGAACTCTAGAAGTGCAAGATGTTGGTATGAGGATTTTAGGGCATTCTCATTTCTCTGCACTCTATTTACTACACATTCCTCTCATATCAGTTTCTCCTGTGTGTCTTCCCCATGCTTACAGACACCCTAGAAAATGTACTAAACTCAGATTTATCTAAGAAACTAGATCCCTGGACTGAGCTAGGCCTACACAACTCTGAATCATTAAATCATCCCAGCTATGAGATCCTATGAGTTGGGTTAAAAGACTAATTCTGGAGCTTTTTAATATTTAAGGGTTTTTTCCCTCCATTTCAACCATTTTCACTCATTTGTTTTTTCTTTTTTTCCATAGTTCTACTAATGGCATATCTGATATTTTCTTTCCTAATTTATCTGAGGTATATTTCTGGCATAAATTCTTATTCATCTTCTTGCTTCTGAAGTTATTTTCGCTTCCTTTCACTCTTTGTAGATCCCAAATTAGGGTATAACCCAAAATGAAGATTGTCTAAAAAAAAAAATCACTGCAAGAAATTCAAAATAAATATGTACACTTTCTTTTAACTAACCAACATATTATAAATAAGATGCTTTCCAAATTCCTCCCTTTTGGTAAACATTCTTCTCTTGATTCAGACATGCCTGAATAAAAGAGATTTGAGTTTGAGATCATCTTGTTAAGATTCAGAATGAGGAAACATATCTCAGTTACAAATAATACCCTTAGTCTGCAAAATCCAGAAACAGAGCTTTCGCTGAAGAGAAGTTCTGAATTCAGGCCCAGTCTAACCAGAGACATGCAAAGAACATAACATTTGAATTAAGTCCAAAAACTATTCAAAGTATGGTTCCTACTGCAACAGAGCCTTGCTTGCTAACACGAGGCGCCAGGCATACAAAGAAGGATATCATAAGCAATGCTACGTTACTCTGTAACCATGTGTAACTGTGAAAGCACCTTTGAGACTCACCAAAACTGTGGAGGAAATTCACACATACTGTCAGCAGGCTTAAACACACAATTAAAAGAATTCCAACTTTTGTCCAACTTTTTGATCCAGGGACTCAACATGTTAAACCATATTTCAGTATTTCAAATAATTCTAATAGTTAGTTGTAAAAAATGACTAATTTCAGGTGGAAGCTGGAGATGCACGTCATATTCATTTTGTTTATATGACCATTGGGTAGTTTGATAAATCACTTTTAAGAAAGACAGTACCAATTTTAAGGCTGACAGAAGGAAAGCAGAATCTGTTCCAAGGAACAGTGACTAAATCAACAGGCCTAACAGTTATAAATACAAACCTGAAAATAGAGATTGCATAACCAGTGGTCCAAGTCCAGAGAAATAAAATTTTCAATTTTTTGGAATCGGTCAATTTTGGAATTATAAGGGCCTCTGAGGAAGGGGCATTTAAACTTTCCCTCCAAAGTGTTAAAATTGTTGTCACATAAGGGAAAAGCCCCCCATCCTACTCCTCGATCAATGCAAGTCCAAGTTCCACGAAGAAGGAGGAGTTCAAAGAGTAGTACCATGCCTGGATTCATAGCCTTTCTAGGTGGCAGAACCTAGCAAAAGAAAAGAGAAAAGATTTATCAGTTATAAAAACATCACAAAGGGAACAGCTTTCTTATATTAGATGACACTCTACAAACTTCATACCTTTGAACAAATTTCACGTGTTAAAAAAATTAACCACTCTTCTCCCTTTTCCCTCCAAATCGTATATTTGAACAATTGTTACCACCACTGCAAGTGAAAACACTCTGCATTTTATTCATGCTGATTTTGTGATTTCTATTTTTTTCTCTGGCTGTCTAAAAAGTGCTCATTTTCTTCATTAACCAGTAGTGTAAAAATATTGCCACTAGAAAATTTTAAGACAGAGGAAGAAACTTTGGAGTTTGAGACGTTCCTGTGAGGGTCTATTCAGATTGATCATCGCACTCGTCTTGTAGCAGCTTTGGAGAGTTCATCCACTCGAGCTTTTCTCTTATACTCAGTGAGGAACATTTCCAGGCTTGCTCCTTACTGAGTCATAAACTCTTCTCCACCCAGTCCTGGGCATGATACTGGTACACAATAGCCTTCTCCTTCATATTAAAGAGGGAAACCCTTCTTACAAGTATGGAAACCTCAGGATAGGGTCAAAAAGGATTTTGAGGTAGTAAACTCCCAACTTACCAAAGACTGGTAAACACTGTTTGTACTTTTCTTAAGACAGTCAGAGCTATTCTCAGTGACTTGGAGCTGGGGAAGAGGGTTACCAGTGCCTTAGGGCCCTGGAGCAATTGTGTTCCCATGGCAAAGACTTGAAAATCAGGAGTGAGGAAATATCCCTAAAGTAATGAATCCCTCTGTAAGGTTTGCTGTGTGAAGCAATTCAAGGTCATGGAGAAAAGAGCAGGTGAAGAAGCAGGGCAAAGACAAACAAAAAGAAATCTGATTCTATGCCACAATTTTAACTATGTTATTTAATTAACATAAGGGTTGATCCAGGTCCTGTTGAACAGTTTTTATTCGTTCTAAAGGACAAATAAAACAAAAAGCCATATAAAAGCTGGAATATGGAAGGTAACTACCATCACATCCTGGCTAAAAGCTCTGAAAGGCAATCGTAGAGACAAGGAGACCAGGTCAGCTACACTACTCACAAAGTGAAACATCTGCTGCTTTACTGCTCCTACCAGTTCTTCTGGATTATACAGAACTGGGACTGTGCCTAATCGCTTAACTAAACTATCTATCTTGGATGTTTATCTCATAGAGACGTTACTTTGTTATTGGAATGTCTTCCATCTTTTATTGTCCCCACTTCAGTCACTGAAGTTCATAACAGCACATCTCCTGGTACACTTGCCATGCAGAGACTCCCACTAATCCTTACCTTGCTTCCTGGAGAAGGCAGAGAGTGAGAGGCCTTTGCTCCTTCACTCTCTTCCCTGTGAATTTATGTATACTTGGAGCACGTCACAACATTCAAGGGTATCCTCTGACTTGCATGGCTAAACATCTGAGTGCTTTGCAGGATGCATCTTCAGCACATTTTGAAACTCAGAATAAGACCTCCAAATAGAAAATATCCATCCAAATTCACCACCCACTTTTAAAGGCGTAAGTTAATGCTGTGCCAAAGGCTTTTTAACCAAAACTGATTTCCTCAGTCAGACAACATTCTATAGCTGACAACCAGCCACAAATCTTTACTGTTTCAAATATTTCGGCACACAAGTACAGGTAAAGCTATTTCTCTTTTGATATTTTTTAAATGCAAGCATCACTTTCTTTTACTCCTAATTGAACAGTAGACAAGATAATAAGCACAGCTTAGGTACAACCAAGCTTTTTCTCTGTGTTTTTCTAAAGCAATTAAGGGATTTACTCATACCAAAAACTACTGTTTTAGGAAATGTTACATGTTCATAGCTGTACTGCATTCTATGAATTTTTTGCAGAGGTGAATATAAATTATTATTTAAAATAATATGCTTTCCTGTTTCAAGTTATATATTGTGATTAAATAATGGCAGGAGAGAGGAAGCCATTTAAGGAAATCTTTTAAAACTATAAATATTGTCATTATTATGTAGGTGTACTTTATATTAATTATGTAAATATATTCCAAGACTTAGTGTAGGCTTAAAATGAAACAGAAGCATCTGTTGAAAAATGCCATAACCCTGTGGCAGCTGCTATTAAACCATTAACAGTATCAGGTTTCATTTAAACCAGATTTACCATTTTCTATAACAGCCCGTGGGAAAGCTAAAAACATTAGGCACAAATTACTGACAAAAGAGATCCTTAATCAAGCCATACATTTCATTTGGCTAGCTGGGTGCTAGATAGTAACCTCTGTGCTACAAAATAAGGGTGGTGGTTACAAGGCTATGATCAAAGACAATTACCTGCATTACTGAACAATCTCAAAGTTCAAGCAGTTGAAATCACTGCCGTATCACAACCTCCCTTTCAGTTCCTCTCTTGTTTCCCAGACTTACTCTTTTGTTTAGAATAACTCAGCAATACACTCTCTTCTGCCAGGCTGCCTATAAACAGGCAAGGGTTGGGCAGCTGGTGTAAGGGTAATCAGACTGACTACTCAAACCTCATTTCTTTGTTTCCTGCTCACTGTCACACTCCTCTTGCTATAAACTCTCATCCTGCACCGAGACTGCAAACTCTCTCTTTGGGACTGGAAACATCCCTTTGCTTAAGAGTTACAGGATCTGGACGTTCAAGCCATTCCCTGATCCAAACGCGTAAGGACAAAAATAAGGATTTTGCTACACACCTGTATGCTACGAAGCCTGAGGTAGTGAGATTCATTCTGGGAGTCTTTCCACAGGAATGACAGGTGCCTGACCAAGACAGGGCAGTGTCACACATCACGGCAAACACTGTCAGATAAAACATACCTACCAAATACAAAATGTATTTCCACTCAATCCACACAAACAACCAGGCTAAGCCTCTGCCTGTTACTCTATCCTGGCGTGTTAAACCTTCACGCAAGTGCCTGTGGGCTTTCATTACCATTCTGACGGCCGTGGGGAGCATGATTTGTACAGGTGAAGTGCTGACTACAAAGGGACAGTCAGGCTAAAACAGGAAAGCGTCAAAAAGGAGCAACGTCCCCTCAAGAGCCCTGTGCTAAATCTATCCCACCAAGTCACCTTACACTGCCCCAACCACCACAGCAAACGTGCATCTCCATAATACCCAGTTGTCCAATAGCCACAGGGTCAGATGGCCCTACAAGGAAGCTCGGTGTTGTACCACCTGCCCTTAATTAGCCTCCTCCTAGGAGATGAGTTGGAGAGCAGGGATTTGGGTAATGGCCAGCAGGACCCGTAGGCACAGATACACAAAAGCGTTTAGGCATGTAACTCCTATTAAAATCCACAGGACTTGAGTGCCTACACGCCTTTGTGGATTTAGGCCCTCATTCTCAGATACAGGCTAGAGCACAGCTCAGTGGGTAGAGGAGGAGGAGAAGCAGCAAAAAGCTCGCTCTCTCATAAGACACCTAAGGCCCTAGAAAGAAACGGGAATGGGTGCTTTCCAGAGCTGTGGGAGAAGAGGCACCTGCAGAGACCACTGCCTGGCTCGGGCCTATGCCTGGGATGGACAAAGCCCTGGGCACAGGCAATTCAAATTGACCAATTTGTTTTGATGGGCTGTTTTGTTTTTGAAGAAAAACTAACCTTTACATGAAGTGAGCACCTATAACTTTTCTGCCAATGGCAACTTCTTCTGAGGCACCCTTCGGTTAGTTAGTTCACCAACTTGCACCACCACTTGTAGATGGTCAAAGACAGCATAATATATAAGTACACTTTCATGGGTTTTAATGGGTCTAATCTCTAACATCTCAGTTACAGTTTGCCCTTGCCCAGTTAAAATTTCCATTGAAGTCTATGAGCTACATAACCTTCTACAGTGGTAGAAAAGCATCTTATGCCTACTTTTCACTGCTGTGATTTGTTCTACAAAGGAAGATGCAGCAGAGAATAAATAATGCTTGTGTGTGCCTGCACACGCACAAGTAATTCTTCTTAGTCTGCAGTTAACAGTGTTGCATTTAATTGAATTAAATCATAGTGAACTAAAATTATCTCCTACCACTATTTCTGAATTCAACTGTTTTATATCAGTTTTATTGTAATATATCTTACTTCCCCATATGCCACCATAATTTCAGCAAAGAAATCATTGACTCTAGAGAGAGAATGAATCCTATTTGAATATTTCAATAAACTGATCCACTGTGAGGATTTTGGCTTTTTGTCTGACTCACTCTTGGATTTTAACCTCCTCAGAGAAGAAACAAACCTTTGCTTCTGTCCTTCAAACGTACTGAATTTAGAAGAAAAAGGACAAAAATGCCATTATCTAAGTCACATAACACAGAAATTTGACCACTAAACCTCTACCACGTAACCAGATTAAACTGAATTAGAAAATTCAAAGGCAGTTCAATGTTTACTTACTTTCAACAGAATAATCTTGCAAAACACCATATAAATTAATGGCTCATCATTTCTGATTATGACAACTGCAGTAAACGAATCTTACTGGCACCAAACACAAACAAAGGTAGAAAACCTTTTAAATAGGAGACAGTTCCTATCACACCATCTCATTAACAAACAACAAAATTATTTCACTTTGTGGAGTGAACAGAGTTGGGCTGAGGCTGCTATTGCCAAAAGAAGGCGGAGGTGTCACGGACAGCTTACAAGCCTTCGCTGTTTGCACGTGAGGCTAGCCTACAGGCAGAAGAAAGAGCATTCTTGGGAAGCGTTTAGGTAACTCTGAAATTTTTAAAAGGCCAGAGGAGAGGGAATAGAAAACTGGACTGAGGGAAAAATGAAATACTATGTTATTAGGGTTTCACAAAGTCCTATCTATCATCAGAACGTTTTGGAATAGCAGGCAAAACAGAGCAGCTTTGGGTGGTTGCCTGTCTGCACACAGGTATCCGAATACAGGACAACACACAGATGGAGGGAGACTGTGCAAACAACACACTGCCGCTCATTTCCACATATAAACGTTTTCTTTC